GAGAGAGAGAGAGAGAGACGTAGAAAGAGACTCTATTTACTGACTTGGATATATTTGAATTCCCTTTAAGTTTACATTTGTTTTCATATTAGTTTATTTACAAGGTGATAATTGAACATAAAGATGCACAGCTGCTCAACAGAGTGTAAAATTATTTTTATTTAGTTTTGCTTCCTTGAGTGATGCTGTCAAACATCAACATGGTGTCAGGAACAGGTCTTCCAGACAACTACTGATGGGACACAGAGCCTTCGGTTCAAATAAAGTTAATATCTTTTTTTAATCTAGAATTACACCAGATAAGAGCCATTCCATGACTTAAAATGTCTAATTGCTGATGCTTACTTTACACAATCTCCCTTCTCCTCCCAAAGTACCTTTTTAATACCTTTAGCTTCATTAGTGATTGGATGGGCTTGGATCTTGAACTATCATCTAATGTTTAGATGTGCCTTTCAGAATGGAGCTGAAGTGTACTGCTTAAGCCAAGGAGGGAAGTGCTGTCAGTGCAGGTTTTAGAACAGCATGGTTAATATTAAAACCACTGTGTGTACCTGTCTGGAAGGAGCGGGTGAGGTTCCTTCTTACGCACCTAGTTGATGTAAACACAGAAATGCTTTTTCCACAACTGCTGTCTTTAGAAATCGGTAATTTGGAACATGAGTGTGAATCAGCAGAGCAGAGTGTGTAGGAATTTCACCTGGTCAGCAAACTCTTGCTTTTCTTATTTGTCTTTATTCTTGAGAATACATTTACAGACCTGTCTGCTTTAGGTTGGCTGGGTTGGGGTTTTTATTTGTTTTTAAGCTTCCCTGAGTCAAGGAACGTTTTTTTATAGTGACACTGAGGTTATCGCAGGGTCTCTGGCATCAAAGTAATTTCTCCAGACAAACTGCTCTTGTTTCCCGTTGGTAAATATCCTGAGCATCTTGGTTAGCATAAGCTGTCCCCTTTTAAATCAGAGGAAAGCAGTCACACAGAACTCACATAACTAACGTGGCAAGAAAAGAATGTTTTGCAGTTGTGTGGCGTCTCAGAGGGACCTGTCCCAACACTGCTGGCCACGACCCAGCCGCTTCACTGAGAACTGTGAAGAGGCCAGAAAGGCTTTTGTGCCTCTTGGCATCTCTGTGGCACGTAATCTCTTCACTATACTTTCCTTCCTGTAAAAATACAGTGCAGATATAAAAGTAGGTCTTGTTGATGTGCCAAAATTCAGTGCACCTCCTTGTATTATTTTCTTTATCATCTGTATTTTCCAGAATCTCTTATCAATGTTTGTGTCCCAAATGGGCAAACCTGCTCCAAAACACTTCAGGTTTTGTCCTCAGTCATTCATTTTAGGCTGGTGATACTAAAATACTGAAACTAGAAAAAGGCTGCCCAGCTCTCTTATTAAATTTGTTAAATTGCCTCCTTAAAATGAAAATAAATCACTTGGAAGGAGGGCCAGGGCACAGAAAGTGGAATTAATGACAAAAATTATTCTTCCTTACTTCAAGATTTTGGCTCAATTTTGCTGCTACTTGCTGATACTCCTTCAAGCAAAGGGACCTGCTTGCCGTATTCTCTATTCTTCAGTGCAAAACAAATAATCATAGATAGTGTGTTGTTTCCTAATGTGAAATGTGTTAGTGTGAAGGCTTTCTGTTTCAACCCTGGGGAATCTAACTGGTGCTTAAATGTGCTCTTATGTTCATTAGTAAGGCCTGTTTGAGTATGCTGGTTGGAATTGTACATCAGTGCTGCAAAAGTTGTGCAAAAGTCTGAGCAGTATCTTGGGGAGGGAGGGAGCTATTGAGGAAAGCTGTATTTAAGGAGCATGAAAAAAATTGTATAGAATTGTTTGGTCAAAGGAATGATCTTGTCTGAACACTTTGAAGTCCATTTAATTGTTTTTTTTCCCCTTGAAACACAACAAGTTTGTTTTTTGCATGCTTCTTGGGAAAGTGCAGTTAGGAAAAGAGATGGAAGGTAAGCTACTGTCTGCTTGCTATTAGTGTCATCTGGATTTAAATGTACTACTTTTGCTTGGCTTCTTTAAGTTTGATTTATTATGTTGCGGGCATTCAGAGTAAGTGCTTTGTGAATTTCCAAGTGCCTGAATGCATCTGGGGATATACCACTGGGGACAGTGTCATGAGTGTTTGTATTTACTTTTTGCATGTGATCCTTTCCCCTCTCTTTAGAAAATCAATGAGAATTGCAGTGCTTCATCAGCCAGCTCAGCAAGTCAACCCCAAAATCCGATAGATTCTGGGCAGTCCAGAAATCGTTCAGCACCAACACCTACAGCAACATCAGATTCCCAAGTAGATGGCGACCGCCTTGTGTCGGATCATGATGCTCAGCCTGCTGCTGCAGGGCCCTGAGATGCGCTCATCTTACCAAATCCAGTGCATGGAATTCTGCTTCTCACCTGGGAAATGCTGGAGTAGGAGCTCAAAAGTAGGACTTCCTTCATCTTAACGATCATAATGTGATGCAGTGCAAGCTTTTAACTATATAAAGAATATTCATATGACTACACAGAGCAACATGAGCAGGGAAGCCAAAAGTTCGGAATTCTTGAAGGAAGTGATGTGGCTGGATCTAACGGTAGGAAGAATTCTTGGCTGTTTTGCTAAAGCTAAGTGCTATGAGATTTCTTTGCATCCTGCAGGAAAAGGGAGTTCACTCTTCACTTGTTGAGGCACAGAGTGTGTGACCTGATTGGGTAATTTTTTTTCTTTGAATTTGTTCCCAAGATAAAATTTAAAGACTTTTTAGGAGAGAAACTGGATTTCCCTGCATAGTCTATTAGAAAATATCGGATCCAATAAATATAGGAACAGCATGAAACTGTCTCTGTAGGGATTTCTCAGAAACAGAGTAGCTTTAGCAAGTGTATCTTTATATTATGGTGATGGATTAAGTAAAACACACACATATTCAAAGAATATGTTTTTGAAGCTAATGTTATCTTGTTTGAGATAAAGGTTTAGTTCTGCAAAGCAATGATTTTGAACTGGCGTTTTAGTGAAGCAAAAAAGCTGGAGGACGGCTTCTGAAGAAGTTAACCTCCGTGCTTGCAGCCCTTCAGTTGGGCATAGGTTGTGTGCGTTTGGGTAATTTTAGGTTTGATGTTGTATTGAGACAAGAATCTTTGATCAAAGTTGCACAACCTGAGGTTGATCAAGGGTTTCAATGGACACACTGTCTTTTTGTTTTTTATTTCATCATCTATACAATGGTTTATTTAATGCAGTGTAGTTACTGTGGTTATTTATTAAGAAAATAGTAAGCTTTAAGTGCCTGGGGAAGGTGGGAGATAGGGAAGAATCACCTAAAAATCTTAATGATTAGGATTATAGGGGCAAAGTTGTTGACACAGAAATCAACTAGAGCGAGTCTCAGGAGGAAGCAAATGTAACTAAATTGCAGTATGTTTAGGAAATTACTTTGCCCAATGTCAAGAAACTGGAAGACTTTGGATTATGTTTTGTTATGCTTTTCAATATTAACTGCAGCCAGCTCACTTGCTGGCGCATAGTGAAAATTGCTGCTGGAGGGATACCCTTGGGCTCAAGGAGGAGTCGGGAGCGGGGTGGGGGTTAGTCAGGATCGTGTTGTGGCCTATTTGCTTATATGAACAGCTTGTTCCTGGGAGATTCCGAGCGCTCAGCTTCTGCGGGACTGAGTGAGTATTGCTCAGCCCTCCTTGAAATCAGATGTATGTGATGTATCAGGCCTTCCGTGGGGAAGGCGTGTGCTGGGGGACTGTGTGGTGATCCAGAGGCAAGATTAACAGGAGCACAGGGTTAGGGGGAGAGGAAGGTGGCAGCAGCTAAGCAGGAAAGGGGGCGCACAGCTTTACCCACTTTGACATCCCGTTAGCGTGGGGGCAGGGGTGTCCCATAGCTGTGCTGTAGCTGTGCTTTGAGAACAACCCGTGTTCTGGTGGTGCCTGGGACCAACACCATAGACAATAAAAAGAAACATCGATGACTAGCCACTAGTTACTTTTATTGCACTTGAACTTAAATGTACTGTACTCACGTAAATCCTCATGACTTGTCTAAGTGTCCTTTAAAATCAGAAATGTATTTATTATATGTTTGTATAACTTGGGGGAGAACTAAAGACTGAACAGGTGACAGGACAGAAGGATGCTGAAAATCATCTGGAGGCAAACCAGCCATTTGTTGAGTTCATGCTGTACGGTGTTACCTCAGCTGCTACTGCATAGCACCTGAATCGTGAGGTGAAGAGCTTGTACACTGTGTTTACACTTCAGAATTGTGTATCTGAAATGCCTGCTCTTTTTGGAATTGTATAGTCATTCTATGTTGCAAAATGGACATGTACACCTGGGTTTTGATATTTGTGAAACTGTAAAAACTGTGGTAAGAAATATAAAATATCCATAATGTATTCAATAGTATGAATCTGAACTTTTATTACGGTTACTCATCTTATGGTGCCAGCAGTGAACATAATCACTTGAATTTAAAGTAGTTCAATGGCAATGACCTTTTGCTAGGTTCACTGCCTGGAGAGCCTGGGAACTACTCTTGCACAGCATTAAAATCTGTTTCACGATAAAATCTGACTTAGGCACACACTTCCTTGTGTGGGGCGAGGAGGATGCAAGGGATGCACACCAGTGTGCATCATGAACAGGTTGACATGGAAGTGTGGAGGACATAATGAGTGAAAGTCAAAACTGGATTACGTTTGTCACCTAGCAATTTTGAGATAGAGGCTCCTAAGTGCGGGTTATGTCAGCTTGTGTGGAAATACTTCCCATTGATGTGTCTGATTATATCTGCACTATTACACCTGCCCTATACAGTGGCACATTTGGCTGGAATTTAGTTTTATTTTAGGTGCAGGACAGTTCAGTTTTTACTATTTCAACTGTGTAAATTTTACACATACAAAAGCGGTGACAGGGAGAGATCTCAGTTTTGTTTTGTTGTTTGCATGTGTGTACCTGCCAGACCTCACCTGTCACTTTATGAATTTGGCTTTGTGGTGATTTGGATCTGTCAAGAGCAGAGAACAGGAATGGCAAGTTCCTTCAGGGAGATGCACTCGAAGTAGAGGGGAAGGTCAGATTTGGAGCAACCCCAGCTAATGCATAGTTACTGTTTCTTAAATCTCCAACAAGGGGGAAAACCTCAGGACATAAACACACCCAATTTACTCTTCCTTGTCATACGTCCTGCTGCTCTGAAGAGAGTAAATGCATAAGGGAGGAGAACCACATCGTTGAAAAATACTTTTATTTAAAAAAATCTTGAAAGTACAAGACAGTATATCAAGTATGCTGTACCGTGAATACAAAATAAATATGAAATTCTAACTTTTTTTAAAACACCATGAAACATAAGATAAATATAGCCATATCCTATATTAAGGAAGAAAGGCTTTCACAATGGTTAAGGCGAAGGATCAACATACAGATTCTGTTCCCAGATTTTCTGGCTGAACACTGTACAGTACTTAACAACTGTGTTTCTGTAAACCTCTGTAATCTCCATCTATCACAGGAGCAGTGTGCAAGTAAACTCACTGTTGGCAAACGGCTCAAATGACAGCGCTTGGTTTTAGTGGGTTTTGTTTATCAAATGCTTCCAATGTTGGAACAGGCTTGGGAGGATTTTTTAAGGTCAGGATCAGCTACCCACTAAAGTAGTCTTCATCTTTCTCATACATTGCTGCACTTCTGTCTTGGATGTACTTAGTTTCCTGCTCTGCTTTGGATTGTATTTTACCCATCCCCTGGCAAATGAGGGACTTCACAACTACACAAAATGTGGGTCGATTTCTCCCCCTCCTTGTTGGAGTAGGTGTACCTGGTACTGTTCTAAGTAATTTAGAAAAGGGGACAGTGTCTGAAAAATGCAATTGCCTATTTTGGGGGGGCTTTTCTGTTTAATGTATTGCTTAGGTAAAATATTACCTTAATGTATTACCTGGGCTATTGCATATAAATACGTATTATGTACTTACGGAAGAATAATCATCACTACCTCAGTAAGGAGAGGAAATCCAGAAAAACTGTGAGTTTAAGCTAGGACAAATCTGATTCTCCCCCTTGGCCTCAAATCATATGGATGTGAGTTGTTAGCTGACTACAAAGAACACTAAGAAACCTGTGTACTTTAGAACATACAAAAAACATTTAACATTGACATCTCTTCAAGTATCCTTTTTTGATTAATCTAATAATTTTAAGTACTTCATTTTCACAATGGCAACACAGGCAAAGGTAAAATAAATCTTCAGTCTAGTAAGATCACTGTTCAGGGAGGAGTTTCCATCCTTCTCCCAAGCCATCAAAGATAATGAGGCTTTCCTCAGTTTTCACAATAGCTAATGCTTCCAGCTTCTTGCCAGTGACAGAACTTGCCCGACTTCAGAGTGTGGGTGGCAATATACCTATGAATTTGGTAGTAACAGCCTCTCTTGGAGGTGACTCTTGGTGCTAGTGGCCTTCCTGAACAGAACTCTGTTGTTCTGTTTTTGAAAGTTGTGGACTTACTGGTGAATGTATTTGTATCACCTGCTTGACAGGACTGTCTCTGATAAACATGCTGTAGATGCTGCCTATGTATTTATAAGTTTATGGCACAATAGGGTGTCAAGTGTCTCTCTACTGTAAAATGGAAGAGTTTCTTTTAAAATGAAGCAATGATGAAGGAATGTAAAGGAGGAAGGACCATGTAAGCATGGCTTTCAAGAACCAGCTCCAAGTCCTGTTTTATAGAGGAGCTCTTGGAATGTGGTACGGCAGCACTTCTTAACACTGCTAGAGGTAACAGATTTTCTCCTTTGTCCAGCAGTGGAAAATGAGAAACCACAATAGTGCAGGCACTGCTCAAGTCATGCTGCATCACTGGGCACATTACAAAGAACAGATATCCCTTTTAAAACAAATACATCCTTGTCTGAAATGCCCTTCTGGAGAGCTCACTGCTTCCCACCACCCGCACTAGTGGGCTTGTAAGATCAGATGGTGACAGAATTAATGGTCTTTTGTTTTCTGCAGTTTGGAGACAGTAAAGGCAAACAGGAAGGTGAGGATAGAAGAATATGGGGATAGTCTAAAGAACAAAAGAAGGAAATTACCTCTCCAGGTGGATGAACTGAGGGGACATGATCTACTCCCCAGCCTAGGACTGTGTAATATGTAAGATGAAAGACAAATTTCTCTCCCTGTTCTTTTGTTTTCCTCTCCACACACCTCCTGTGATAAGTCCCAAAGGGAGCCAAAGAAGGGGAGGTAGAAGCCAGCTATCCCTCCCTCCTTGTTTTGCCAGGAATTACTTTCCACATTTTGTTGAATGAGCAAACTACTGAGTAGGACAGTGGAGCTGTATGTGGGTTATCTGTAAGCCCAATTACATGGTTACAGCATCACTCCAGCTCTGTTGACAGCAGTTTCTCCAAGCAGCTGAAACAGCCTCAGCCTTTGTTGCCTTTTCTGGGCTGTCCAGAGGCCTGGAATGGAGGGCAGTATCCATCTGAGGTAAGGTGACAGTAAAATTGAAAGCAATAGTAAAAATACATGTGGGGACAGAAATCCTCTCCTAAATCATCTGTGGTTGTCAGAGGTGGAGAAGCA